AAGCAACACCTGAGCACCAACAACATGATGTAAAAAGAATCAGCAACAAACATGGGCAGAGGTAAGTTTTTCACCACACCAGCACTGATCACACTTTATAGAACCTGTATCATTAATGCAGCATTAAACGGTGTAAAATTATTGCGGTCACAACTGCTAAGTTTTTTAAAGGAGACATGTTATGCAAAATGCATTTTTTTAGCTGTTAAATGCAATTTGTTGTGTACTTTGAGTCTGTATTGAGTGCAACTCAGATTTCAGAATTTTTATGACTTTTTTTGAACAATTCCATCACATAATTTGTGATGGGATTTCTAAACAAGTTATGGACTCACCGATTAATTTTGTTCTTTATTCTCTCTCACTTTGGGTCAGACTCTGGCTCCTACATGTAAGGCTGAATGGACAAGATGTTGACATCTTTTGATTAATTTATGAATAATAATAAAAAAAGTTTCTGTGCTGTTGTACAGTTATAAACTCCTCTGTCAAACTAGAATGGACCTCTCTGGAAGATGGAGCGGGGCGGAGTATGAAGCAACTTTTTTGGAAATAGAGAGACAGCCTCAAAACGAGTTGATCACACATCAGAGTGGGGTGAAAGAGGGGCTTGTGGAGCTGCAATAAGGAGGAATTCACACCAAAGTGACCCCACCCGAATGATTTAAATGTGAAAAAAGCAGGATTTAAAAGCATGATTTGTCTCTTTTAAGACCTGAATGTGAATTATGTGTGATGTTTCAGTGTTGCAATCTTGCCACAAACCTCTTTAACATGACTGATAAATCTGTGGCAACCTGGTGCTGAAGAACACACTGTGTGCTAATATCAATTACATGCAAGTGGGATGTTGTACAGTATTTTCTTATAGCTGTGTTTCTCAATACATCACAGAAATGCAATGCAGACAGGCAACAGTAACAGGTGTTAAGTCAGTGTTTGTTCCTCTAATCAAACGTCCTGCCTCATATTGCCTTGTCATCAACAGATGTCAAGGAAAAAAAATAGACACACAACTATGATATGCTTTACGTTTCATTGTAAAATATAACAAGATATGTAGGAAAATAAGGACTAGAGCTAGAAATCTGGAGGGCACTTATTCTAAATATGACTCCCTCGGAGCAAAGCCAGTCCTCCAACATTCATTCCTCAAGGTGAAGAAGAGCCTCTGCAATGTTCCAGCTCTAAAGGTGGACTCAAAATACAATAACAGGAGCCCCGCTCTGTAGGACACACTGATTCAATAGCAATGCAAGCTTGYAAAGATCAAAAAGGCCAGATTCTCCAGTGCCCCTAAGGTGCAAAATATACCAACAACAAAAAAAWAAWAATTTTATATAGCAGCAAAGTAAAATCAAGCAGCATTTCAATGAAAGTTGTTTCATTTCACGAGCACGTCTTCATAAAACCAAACAAAAAGCTGACCTTCAGTTTTATCAAGCATTTGTTTAAATGTATGTTTTGTTTTAATTTGTTCCAGTAGCTGTTTTGGTTTACCTTTGATTTTCTAAAATCTTTTCACTTAGATGCCTGTGACTTTTTGAAACGCCACAGCATTTTATTTCTTGTCCAGTTTTATTTTGTGCCTCACTTCATTTTAAGATATGAAGACTGACGTTTCTCAAACAGGTATATTCARCATTACATAGAAAATAAAATGAAAAAAAAWYTTCATAATCATACATGCATTTATTGGCTCATTTATGTACAACCATGAACATAATCACTCACCATTCTAAACGCATTCGGTGCRAAATGTTCCACACAGCAATAAAACAACAAAATGCATCCAATTAAAGCACATCTGAATTTAAAAACTAGACTGAGAAAAAAACACTTCAGTGTCCCGCCTTTTGAGATTTAGTGACTACAATGCGACCACACAGAGAATTACTGCCAGTAATTGATTATTAAAACTTGAAATTGCATGCCATATCTATTATTTGAGAAGTGTATGTGTTATTATTATAATCAACAAAGCTTGGCACTTACTGTTTGCCACCTCCAGGACCCCTAGAAAAAATATATCAGAGGTTAGAAAGGCAACTTATAGAGCAAGCACTGTCTGGCCAATTATCTCAGATAGAATACATTACCAAATGATGCTCACTACACCAGGATATTCCCCTTCATACTGTGGCACAGACATAGTCAGGGAAAAAAATGTTATGTTGAGGAAGTGGTAAATATATTGTGAATGCACTCGTTTGCAGGTACGTGGTAAAAAATATTTTATATTCCTAAAAAATGTTAATAATATTCTCTATAGGTGAGCATTTGGGTGAGTACTTTTCTGCTGCAAAAAGACCTGATGGTTTCTTTAAGCAGAAACATTACAACTGTTTTCATACTATAAGTATGTATACTTTTATGTACATACATTTACGTATATGATTGAAATATAAGGTAATTAAACTGCAATATAGTTGATTGAATTTTAAAGTCTCCCGAGGTGACTTGTTTTTAATTGGAGCTACTGTATATAAATGTGGAACTAAAATTCAAATGCAAAGGTAATATTTTGAATTAAACAAAACAATTAAAAGTATGACATTATTTGATTCAGTTGAACTAAAATAAGAAAATGTTGGAGACAACTTTAATTTATGTTGAACACAAAATTACCTAATTATTATGTCATGCACAATCTGCTAAAAACATTTTTTAATTGATCCATGTGTCAGTCATGATTGTTAAATTGAGTCAAATGCACAACAAAGCAGCTTAATAAATTAACGTATTGTAGCAGTTTTAATATAAATTCCAACAACTTGTTGCACTTGTGGATTTGTTTTCGACAACTGTTAGTAAGAAAAAAAAAAAGCTGTCATTTGTTGCATTTTTTCCTAACTAACACAAGTTTATCCTTGCACAAAATTGCTTCTGGCTTTTGATGGTTCTTATGGGAAAGATTTTTCAAAAGAAATGCTTGAAAACACTAACCTTCACWGTAGTGTACCCTGCAAACACACCTATCCTTATTTCCTTGTGGAGTTTAAACCGAGACTTAATAATGCTCATTTTTGAATTGAGAGTAGAGCAAACAGCAAGGTCTCCCCTTCATTGGAGATAATCAGTCTTTGGCTGAACAGAGCAAAGCCAGCTCCAGACTAGGAGAATACAACAAAAAGGGCATTTAAGCACAGAGCAAAGTTGACAGCTCTCAAGTACAAAACCTGGAGTCATAAGAGTGAGAGCGCAGACAAAATAAATCCTATAAAAATGTGCTGGCGTGAAGTGTTGCAAACACTGATGGCTGTCCATGAGGGCCGAGATAGAACGGAGACAGGGTTTTTATTTTCTTTTTTTCTTTTCTTCTTCTTTTTACTGGGAGAGATGGTGTATCCACAGGCCGTTTGAGCTGGAATAGAGCTGGATGAATTCATTAAAGGAAGCGCAGTCTCTCCCAGCTGCCATCTCTCCCCCTGCAGCCAGACTCCGATCAATGGCAGGAATACATCCAAAACAACATTTAGCACAAGACCTCGGAAGCAGGGGTGCGTTTAAGATTTCTCTGTGAGCGCACAACTCCCCTGGATGGGAGAGCGGTTTCAAAAAACATTGTGCTGGAAGTACAGCAGGGGAAGGTATGGGGGCAATGTGTTTAAATCGCAACAAAGAAGATTGACAAGATGTTTCTTTAGAGGGAGAAATCAAAATCATGAACTTCTTTTTTTTTTTTTTTACTTGTAAAGCCTTGAATGTAATTTGGAACGGTATTATGAATCCTTGAAAAATAATGCTGTATTTTTTTTTACTCATCAATATAACTAACTGCTCACAATTAGAGTATGATGCTACTTCTATTGAAAGTTTGAATGAGACATTGTTCAGTATTTCATTTTTTCATGTGCTGTGTTTTATTTATTTATTTTTTTTCATTGACAACATTGTCACAATTTTAAGCTAAAGAAAAATGCTTCTGGTACCATCTAGTGGTGATTAAAGTACAGGTAATTCTAAAAGAAAAAAAATGTATAGGTCTTCTGGACGGGTTCTTCTCTAATGAAACGTTTCGTCTCTCCTCCAAGAGAC